TTTATACTGAGGGACTGAATATAATGGCTTATTAATATATTAAAAAATGTTTTTTATACTGAGGGACTGAACAAAATGACACACGTTAACATATTAATCATATTAAAACATTAAAATTTTGTTTTTTTTACTCCAACTTGCTGTACATTCTGCCAACAGTTTAAGTGTAGATTGTCAGTTATTCAGGATGTGGCAAAGATATTATTGCACACATTATTACAAATAACTTCATTTCTGGACATTTATGGTTTGATTTCTTTGTATGTATGGATCACTTGGGTTGTTACAGACATCTGGTGAAAATTTCATGTCATTAGCACCTCTAGTAATATATTTACTGAGAAAAATGTTGACATGYTCAATACTTATTTTACGTGCTTTAAATGGAATGAAATGACATACGTACACATCAACTTCTTTGGATATTAATCTGTATCTTGACCCTCAGAAATTAATAATTTTCACAAAATTGTGTAGTACTCTCAGAGAGTACTATGAAGGGCCCAGGTGTCCTCTCTCCATGGACTGTCAGCCACAGAGAGAGGATGTGGGGTCGGAGATAAAAGTGTCTGCAGTGGCAGAGGAGAAGGAAAAGGAAGGCGAAGAGGTGGAAACCTTATTTCCTTACAGCCTACTGGCTCTAAGGGTTAAATTAATTTGAAGCATTTTTTTAATCTGTAGGTTTGGCACTATATGGTCAAACTCATTTTCATTGAGGGCCACATGAGCGTTACTGTAAACAACTTGGGAGTATCACTTAAGTTCAGCTAAACATGAAATGTCACATTCTTCATCTCATTGTTACAGCTGACAAACAATAACTGAGCTCTACCTGGTATTTCCTGCAAAGAAACAGTGTTTTAACACATCCTCTTAAAACACTGAAAAATACTACATGTATGACTGACTAAATGTGAAATAAATATAGAAATACTATTAAAAGTAAAACTCTGAATTGTCCTACTTTCTGACAGGGAATTCTCATGCATAACCAACATGCATTATGGGAGATGTAGTTTATGGTCAATGCTGGCTTTAAAGCAACTTATTTGAAGACATTATTCCTGTGTGTTCCTTAGTTCATTAAAGCCAACAGCTCTGAGACGGGACAAGTATTTTTATCTTCATCTTTTAAATGTGTTGATTTGTTCATTTTTGATGCATTTAATCATAAATGTAATGTTTACCATTGATATTAAAACAATTTCCATATTAAGTCAAAAATAAAATAAATAAATACATTATTTTGGAGGAGTGCGGGCCAGACGGGAGTCACCCATTGGCCACATTTGGTCCACGGGCCTTGAGTTTGACACATGTACTATACGTTTGTACATATTCAAAATGGGGGAATATCTGTGTAATTTATAGACATGCTGTACAATTTGACATGTAAGCACTACTTTTATTGCACCAAATCATTTTTAGTGCACTTTACAGGGTATGAAATATCACCAACACACCACTACAAAATGGACAACTGAAGATATATATGGAATAAATCTTGTGCCAGCAGGAATTTAATTTGAATTGCTCAGATTGAATCTGAATGTGCATAATTTGAAATTGAATGCATTGGTTTGAATTTTTTTTTACTAAATTGAAACTGAATTTAATGATTTGAAACTAAATTTAAAGTTTTGAGTTTGAATTAATTTGTTTTGAAACTGTATTTTGGTTTATTAAAAATTCAGTTTGACTACTTTCACTTTCAGTTCCATAATTCAGATTTTTGTGTCAC